TTTTTTCAAATTTCTCGAATACGGACCATTTCAGGAAATTTTGACAAAAAACAAAAATTATAGATAATAATATTAGAAGTAACTTTTATTTGAACAATGTTTTTCTCCAAACATAAATAACAGATATATTCCATAAAATATGAAAACGGCCTCCCATAAAGTACCCCCCCAGATGTTCCGACTTTGTCCAAAATCTAATCATTTCACGTCAGGCCGAAATAAAACTTAAGTTTAAAATTTAATGTTTTTTTCTTTATTTATTTTTGAGTTTTCTCCAAATTTCTAAATGTAAACATTTTCTCAAATATCTCGAATACGGTCCATTTAGAGAAATTATGTATAGGATAAAAATTATAGATAATAATATAAGAAGAAACTTTTATTTGAAAAATTTTCTTCCCCAAACGTAAATAACAGATATATTCCATAAAATATAAAAATGACTACCCATAAAGTACCCCCCCAGATATTCCGACTCTGCTCAAAATCAAATCAGTTCATTGGACGTTGGAACAAAGCTTAAGTTTAGAATTTGTTGTTTTTCTGTGTATCGGTTCATGAGTTATGCGACATACAGACACACAGACATCATCGCGAAAATAGTCAAAACGGATTCAGGGGACCTCAAAACGTAAAAATCCATCAAAAACTCGTAGTCGAAAAAAATCATGATTCCTATACTTTCCTTATATCTGTATACAGATAGGAAAGTAATAATTATATCTGTATACAGATAGGAAAGTAAAAAGGAAATCCACCAGTCACAGTTCATATTTTGGACACCCGACTATTATTTTTAAAATTTTAAATAGGTGACAATTCTGTCAAACTAATTGTCAGTATATTTTTTAGTTATTGAAATTAAATATACATTAAAATGTGCTATTTTTGTGTAGAATCGATAAATTATAGCATTTTTAATTTTGTGTCCACATTAAAAAAAAATTTAATGAATCTATATGAAATCAATTTAGTTAAGAGTATGAAAACTAAAATTGTAAAGGCGGATATGGAACTGTAGACAGAGCCTCTACGTTCCACGCGAAAAGTCCGGGATCGAATCTTGGCTGTCGACTAATTAAATTAATCTTTGTTTTTCATATTTTATAAATTATTAAGATTCATAAATTATTTTAAAATTAGCTATTTTGTCTTAACAACCGAAAATAATTTTTAAAATTTGTAGATTTTCATTAGTGGGTCGTAGAAAAAATATAATGTACAACTCGAGTAGATTATCTATATCCACTCTTGTTGCACAAACTGCTATTTATTAAAAGTAGTATAGGTAGATAATATAATATTTTTTATATTTATATAAATTAGTTTCCCCTTGTACTGGGGGCTGTAGCCCTGCAGCCCCTAGAGACAAGCCGTCATTGTATTACGCTAACACTAGCGACGAAACGTCTTTTAATATGTATATCATGAGATGGCCCTCTAAATTTAAATAAAAATTGGCGCTTTTTTTTGACATTTTCAAAACTCGTCTATTTTTGGTGCGTTTGATTTGATAATTGGAGTTCTCCGACCGCTGCATACGTATTTGAATTGACACTTCGAGCGATCCAAAAAGTGTTTTTTTTTCGCTTTGGAGCATGAACACAGAGTGTGCTCGACGTTCTCAGAGCAGAAGGATGAAGAAGATGGAGAAATTTGTCTTTGTCTCTGCCTATCTTTTTTTAATTAACCGGCAAACAATATTGAATATCAAAATTCAAGACCAGTCAAGTATACAGTCAACATAAATTATTTATCCGCTAATAGCTAAAATTATTCATCATAAAAAAATAAAGAGTGTTTGGAAAATACAATTTTCACTGCTCACATCTAATCACCATTTGTGGTATATGCGACATTTCAGGGCCACTGTCCCGTATTATTAAAAGTTTTTCCATTTTCTTCACTTTTTGCTCACTGTTTTGACACAGATACAAGATTGGTTAGGTTAGGTTTTTCACTACGTCTCATTTCATTTGATTCAATGCTCTGATGATGTTACAATCACTTCTCGGTCTCTTCAACGCTAGCTCGATCAAGTTTCAAATCAAACGACCCTTTTGAATGTATTCTGTACATTTGCATCGTACTGTATGTAAATTTGTATGCAATATTAGGTTTTCTACACTGAACAGAATCAAAAATACGACCAACTTTCAATAAACTGTAAGCTGTATATCGTTTTATTCTTCCTTTTGGAATAATAACAAATCACCCTTTTACCGAAAACTAAACAAAACGTCACAAATAACAAAAACCCGTTATAAATCGTCCTTCCCATTTCCATTTCACTTTCACTTCCTTGCAAAACAACTCCCGCAAGGTCTGCATATACGTTTCTAAGTTGCTTTTTGTGTTCCAGGAAAACGTTTTGTTGAAACAACGAGGAAGCAGCTCGATAAAAGTTATAGACTTCGGAAGTTCCTGCTACTCCAACCAAAGGGTATACACTTACATCCAGTCGAGGTTCTATAGGTCTCCGGAAGTTATCCTAGGACTAACTTACGGTACCGCCATCGATATGTGGAGTTTGGGTAAGTAAGGACAAATTAATAAAATTCCGTTAAAAGTTTATTCAATCCAGAAAAATAAATGTATCCCAATCTTTTGAATTTGATCTTAAACTAAACGCTGTCGTAACCGTAAGAAATACATATATAATTTTGTTATCAATCAGTTTAATGGATTTGTTGAATTACTGCAACATCTGCAGTTCCCTAAGGGTCCAAGCTGAGCCCGTTATTAGTCATTGACAATAGTATTGCCAATTTAATTATACTAGTTTTACCAAAGAATACCTACCCAAGAAGCGAAACTAAATGGGCGATTCGTGGACCAAAAACTGCCAAGTTTTCCCAGTGTTTTAGAGATGGTTTACCGTCAAATATAGTTGTCAGTTTATGTAGAGAAACTTTTTGTATATTATTATTATTAGTGTTTTGTGAAAATTGCAGTTGTATCTAAGTAGTAATTAGAAATTAGTTTTAAGATTTTTATAAAATGAAAAAAAAATGCATTGCGTTGTTCATGAATTTTAATGAACGTTCTTGCAGCCAGGCCGGCTGTGAAAGTTTTATTTTTAAAATTTCTAAATCGGTATTAGCTATAATGATAATTTACGCCTACGTATTAGTATTTTATTTAAAATAGGGTTTTTTTTCTTCTTTAAATCGCTTAAGTCGCTGCTATCAGGATGCAATCGAAATGCATTTACAGCTACCTACAGTACTTCTGGATATGTAATGTGTGGAAGGTGGGTTACTCCACGGCACTTAAGCCTCACTCGGGCCATTGTGTATCCTCCTAAAATAACAGGCACCTCCTAACTCGTGAGCCAGCCTACAGATTTAATGTAGTTGACAAATTTTTCAAGAGGTGCTCTTCTCTTTTATCGGCAGGTATTAGCCAATACTCGCCGAAAACAAATCTTCTAATAAATGAGAGCATCGGGCAGTCGTAAAGGATATGCTCAATGGTCTCATCTTCTTGATCGCACCCCCTGCAGGGTGTGGATTCTGACAACCTCATAATATGGAGATGCTTCCGTACTTGGCAATGACAAATCAGAATGCATGTGATCAGGCGCAGATTCTGTCTAGTCATAGTCAAGTATTTGTTTGCTGTACAGTTGTCAGGATAACTTAAAAGCTCACTAATAACTCTGCAGTTTCTTGTTTTATCCCATCTTTTCTTGAATTTCACAAGGAAATGCTCTATAATTAGGTCTGTTACTACCCATGTTGTCAGTCCAATTGAAGGGCCAGGTCCAAAAAGTATTTGGTTGGCTGCCTTCTTGGCTAGTGAATCAGCAAGAAGGTTACCTTTCGATGTGGCGTGATCTTAGATCATTTCTTAAGGTGACCACATTGTTAATGGACACTCTTGCCAAAGCTTTGTGACATTGTAGTACTAACCCTGAGTAAATTCGTAGTCTGTTCAGGGTAAGTAGTACTTATCTGCTATCTGTATAGATGAGCATGTTCCTACCAGTGATATTGTTTCTGGTGATTTCTTTTGCTGCTATGAGAATCTCTGTGAGCTCGGTTTGAACTACATTGGCATTATTGCTCACAGACCATTTTACGTTGAGGTTTAAGGAATTGGAGTATATTCCACATCCTGACCCTTTGTTTTGTTTTGGATCGTACATCAGGTTCGATTCCAACCTTTCAGATCAGATCGACCTCTTTGATGTTGTAAATATCAAGGAGAGTGAGACTAAGAACGACTTCCATGGCTCTGGTTGGTGTTGTTTTTATGGTTTCTGTTATGTTGAGACATGCTGTTATTTCAATTTGTTTTACTTTGCGGATAGCTGTCAATTTTTGGATTTTCGGTACCCAGACAACTGCATCGTATGTTAGCATAGTTCTTCTGATGACCATGTAAGTCCATGTGACGACTCTGGGGGAGAAACCACAGGTGCGCCCCACGGTTCGGCGGCATTGTTCATAAGCAATGTATTCTCTTTTGTTTTCTAAGTGTGAGTTCCATAGTTTGATATTGTATTAAATAAATTAAAATTTGATTAAAATATTTACAAATTTGAAATGTACAATTCAATTAGATATAAGAAAATAATTAAAAATTAACACTGTAAACTCATATTAATGGGTTTTTGGAGTAAACTTTCTTCATCATCATCCTCAGGACTACTGTTAAAACCTTGTTGCATACTTAACCTCAAAGCTTCCTGTAGACCTCAATCCTTATTCTCCTGCGGTGCAAAATCACCCTCGTCTGCAAGACTTAATTGCAAAGCAGCCTGTAGATCTGCGTCATCACTAACTTAGAAATAGTGTTAGTCAAAACTGGTTTAAGTACAGCACAACTAGGGTTATTTCTCAAAATTTCATCAGCAGTGCATTCCGGTAGGTCTCCGAATATTGCAAATATTGAATAACCATCATTTTTCAATTTTGCCAAGAACAAAACTAAGTACGTATCTGATATAAGCTCTGACCTAGTTAAAAGAGAATTTAGTTTGAACCACTGTTTTCCTATTTTTCGTATTGTAAACCAGTGATCTCGGAAATTGCAAATGATGCAGTCATGTCACTAGGATCGCTAAGAAGTCTTTTGTCAGTACTAGAGTAAGGCACTAATTCTAAACCCCAAACTTGGAAAGCACTACTTATAACTTGTACAGAAAAGTAACCAACATCATCCATATTCCCTGAAGACTGTTGGAGAAATTTGTGATACTCTTCACTTTCTTCCCCAGATTCTGCCATCTTTATTTCCTCTTCGTCTAACTTTTGAGCCAAAGTGCTTAATTTAACAGCTGTAAAGTAAGGTCCTTGTAAGAGGAAGTTCAGGCAATGTTGAGCACAAAGAGAGCCTTCTTGCTTTTCATGGAATATAACGTCCATAATAGGAAATTTCATGAAATTCTAAAGTAAAAAAATATACATAAAAACAATCAGTGTGACTCAAAAATAAAAATAGATTATAGCCAACTTCGTCAACTTGCTTTTAACGGTGCTACCTAGGTACTTCACCTCTGTTGCAAAGTTTTGTTTTGTGTTTAGGAGCTCTGGAGGTTTTAATTTAATTTTTATCTTTTTTCCTTCTGAAAAGGACCATTTATGTCTTTTTGAGATTGATAGAGACAGTAAATGTCCTTGATGGACGTTTGCTTTCTAAACCCAACAATTTTATGGATTTAGGGGTTACATTTGACCCAGTATTGTCGTTTAAATACCACATAGATAACATCTCAACAGCTGCAAATCGTATGTATGGATTCATAGTACGAGTGGGCCGTGATTTTAAAAACACAGATACTATTAAATCATTGTATTTCTCATTTGTTCGATCTAAACTCGAATATGCCTCGTTTATTTGGGATCCTTATTATCAAATACACATTTGTCGGATAGAGTCCACACAAAGGCGTTTCCTCAAATACTTAAGTTTTCGGGCAGACCAAATTTATCCACCGATTGGTATTGCTCAAAATGCTTTACTGACTAGACACAGATTGACAAGTCTCGACGTAAGACGAAAGTACTTCTCCATAATTACCCTCTACAAAGTTGTTAATTTTAAAATCAATTGTGAAGCTCTTTTACATATGCTTAATTTTAGAATCCCACGCGCAACCTCTCGAAACACTGAATCATTTTACATAGCGACTCCTCGGACAAACGTTCTGAAGTTTTCACCTGTATATAACATGTGTAATAATTATAATAATATTAGTGAACAGTTGGATATATTTAATTGCAGTGTTAAAAACATAAAAACACATTGTTTAAAATAATTTTGAATTTATTTACTGTAATTTTAGATTAATTATCTATATGCCTTTTGTTAAACTGTTTTCTTTCAAATGTACTCCTGTTCTGTAATTGGGTTTAACCTGTTGAACAATGTATAAATAAATAAATAAATAAATAAATAAATAAATAAATAAATAAATAAATAAATAAATAAATAAATAAATAAATAAATAAATAAATAAATAAATAAATAAATAAATAAATAAATAAATAAATAAATAAATAAATAAATAAATAAATAAATAAATAAATAAATAAATAAATAAATAAATAAATAAATAAATAAATAAATAAATAAATAAATAAATAAATAAATAAATAAATAAATAAATAAATAAATAAATAAATAAATAAATAAATAAATAAATAAATAAATAAATAAATAAATAAATAAATAAATAAATAAATAAATAAATAAATAAATAAATAAATAAATAAATAAATAAATAAATAAATAAATAAATAAATAAATAAATAAATAAATAAATAAATAAATAAATAAATAAATAAATAAATAAATAAATAAATAAATAAATAAATAAATAAATAAATAAATAAATGGTCCTTGCACCACTGTTCCATAATTGTTCTCAAAATTCCCTATTTGCAGAATGACCAGGTCATCTGATTATGATTTATGTACTGACTATGATTATTGTACCTACAGTACTCATTTCGTTGTTATTATTATAATCAATTTAACATAATGAACATAGTAAGTATGTGTTTAATTCTTATGAACCAAACGACAAAAATTGATTAATTTTCATACGTTTCCCAGTGTATTAAGTTCCCATGTTTTGGTACATACGAAAACTTATTCACTTTCGCTTCTTGGGTAGGTATTCTTTGGTTTTACTGTATGTGGCTGATTTAAAATTATGTAAACGCGAAAAAGTATTGCTAACTCTGAAAACATCTTTAAATGAGAACGAAAAATGGTCCATTATCTCAAATACTGTCAAATTATTCAACAAGGAATAGGAAAAGCTCAAAATCGATACCGCCTAAAATTATTTATTATTGTTATTATCGCCCAGAAACCAAGTTGTTTAACTGTATTTCTTTCGCCAAACTTTGTAACCTTTCTAATAATTTCTTAATCCGGATACTTCAAAATTATTTATTTTTCAGGCTGTATTTTGGCCGAACTGTACACCGGTTACCCTCTTTTTCCTGGAGAAAATGAAGTGGAACAGTTGGCATGTTTAATGGAAGTTTTGGGACCACCACCTGACGAGCTCATCAATGTTGCAACAAGAAGAAGATTATTTTTCGGTATGGTACCAGTTAATTATCATACGTTTTATCTAAATAAATCGATATTAAAATTCTTATTGTACTAAAGTAAAACAAATAATGATTGAGAGTAGAAATAAGCCCAGTTGATGGTAAAGCGGAGGCGTGCTTATTAATTTTTGAGAGGGTTAAGAATGAACCAAAAATGCTTAGTACAATTATTTAAAATAATCACAATTTTTTTTATTTATTTCATTAAAACTTTGCAATATCGTTGGTTACCTAATCATTGTAGATATTAGTTGGGCTTTATTAAAAAGGGAGTAATAATTATTGTGGTAATTATAGTAGGTACCAAATAAATTAACAATATTAATAAAAATCACAATATTTATTTAAGATTTAAAATAAGAAAGATACCTAAATATATAGACTTCTTTTTGTGTGAAACTTTTCGTCTAATCTTCAACCTCAAATTCGCCACTGCTGCTACCGCTATCATCAAAGTTAATTGTGATTGGTTCAATATTGTGTTCAATACGGTTGTCTACGTCCCACATTTTTTACTCTTCTTTTAAAACAAGCTGAATGCATTTCTTCCAGTCTTCTGCAGAAATATTTGAATGGCTTCTTGTAGGAATTATTGCACGTCCACTAATTTAAATGTTATGTTTTCTTGTGCCACATATCCTTTTACTTGCGCCCAGATTAATTCTATTGGGTTTAATTTGCAGTGGTACGGTGGTAATCTTAAAATTGTAATTCCACGACTTATCGCCATTTTATCCACTGCAATTTTTTTATATTTGTCTGTGTGTAATTTTGTTAGCTGAAGTAGTTCTGCCTTTAAACTATCTTTTTTATATTGGATGTTTTTATTAATTAACCATTCTTGAATTGCTGCTTTTTTCCATGATTGTTTCGATAAATGATTCCAAATGCCAACTATGATATGGGGCTTTGTCCATGACTACGACAGTTGAATGATGCTTTCAAACCATTTTTCAAACACCTCCGCATTCATCTCTTCATGATAGTCGCCTGTTTTCTTAGATTTAAATATTAATTCACCATTTGGTAAAAATCGACTGTCGCTTCCTATATGCATAACTATTAGACGACTACCTTTTCCAGACAGCTGTTTTAACCAGCTTGTCGTGCACTTGTTATATGACCATCCTGCCATACTTTCTTGGTTAACTCACCTCTCATCCATGTAGTTAATTTCTTCTCCATACTATTATTTCTTGACGTTCAATGAGAATGCTTTTCCTGTCGACCTTTCCGTACATTAATTTCATTTCGTGTAAAATTTTCCTCAGTTTCTTTACTCATTTGTGGAATCAATTCATGATTGCTAACTGCCTACAGAACTTTTTGCAAAGTGGACAGCTCATTTTTGAAAAAAAAACTGTGAATAGTTCTGCGTATACTGTTTTTGGCTGCTTCATCAACTTTTTTTTTTCTTTCGTTACTAGTTTTTGGCGTTTGTACTTCCCTATGAATTTTGTTTTTTGTAAGTATTTTGTAAGTCGATGATTTTCGTACACCCGTATAATCAGAGCACATATCGACTAATTTATCTTTTGAAATCGTGAAATCCACGATTTAGGCAGTACCGATGTAACAATGTATACTTACACAGAAGATATAGCGAAGAAGGGACCAATCGACGTATTGAACTACTTTAATACCAATGATATGTCTAAAAATTTGGTTTTGATTAGTGATGGCTGTCCGGGTAAGAATAAAAACTACACCATGTTGCATTTTTTATATGTGTTAGTTTATGGTCTTAATCTGTTTGATTCTATAACTTACCTGTTTCCTGTAAGAGGTCATTCTTATTTTCCTAATGACCAGGATTTTTCCCTTATTTCAAGAAAAAAGCAAAAAATGGAAAGAGTTGAGAGTCCAGAGGGGTGAGATAGTGTTATTTTACAATCACGAAGTAAACCGTCACTTTTTAGAGTTGTCAAAGTCGACCAATCCATCATTTTGACATAAAAAGTGCAACTGACAAATTTTTTTTAAAAAATCCAAAACCAGCAATTAACATAAAAAATGTTAGAATGTTCCGAATTAAAAATAGCAATCGTTGTGTACTCCTAGGAGATAGCAACACTGGTACATGGCGGTCATCGCTTATAGTTTCAAGAATATCCATGCAAAAAGAAATAAATTTACAGCAGTGGCTGTAAAGACTACTAAATTACTGTTAAAAAAAATTATTGTTCCTGTAACCCTGATACTGTTTTTGTTTGTATTTACTTTTATTTAGAAGCTTATATGGTTAGTTATAATGGATAATTTAATTTTTATTTTTGAAAAGAATATATTTCGTAAATTTTTTCTTTAAAAACCTCATTGGTCCATGTATTTTATTTGGTTTTCTCATATTGTTTAAAAAAAATCGCAAAATGTTTTGGAAAATGTTGCTTGTATTTGTTTGCACCTGCTAAGTAGTAAAATAAAGCTTATTAATAAAACGTAAAGAACCAGGAGGGTTTTTATTGTTTTCCCAAAATTATTAGTTTTGAACAAATGAGGTTTCTCTGAACAACGCCTCAATTGTTTGTTATCACAACACGTTGATTATTTACTAACTTAACTGTAAAACTTACAATTCACGATGTATAATTCAAAACCCGATGATACGCTCGTGGTTACAAGTACATTACTGAGCACTGCATCGATGAGATTGATTTTACGCGAAACTGACAAAGACACAAATATCGTTCCGTCCCAGATAGCACACGACGCTCCATTGGATGTTCATTGGATGTCCATTGGACATCCAGGACATTATTTGGACAAAATATGGACGTTTAATGAACGTCGTGTGCTGTCTGAGGTACAGCATT